CCATCACTACTACCAGCAGCATCCTGGTGCAAAACGACGCTCTTCCCGCCGAAACCCCTTGCCTTTATTTCCCGCGCAGAATAAAGTTCCTGTTCCACTATCAGAATGGCTACTCCTTTCGTATCCCGGACTCCGGTTGCGTGCGGCGGTCCAAGTTGGGGCTAACCGGATGATAACAACCGAATTATTTTGCCAATTTATGATCGCCGAATTGCCGATCGGCAAAAAAATCAGTTTAGCAGAATTGCCGCGACAAAATCCAACCCTGAATGGGTGGGATTAACCGGTTTGGTGGATTTTCTACAGAAACTTAATGCGTCTGGTGTCTGCATCACCAGGCATTTAGAATATGTGCGAGGGAAAGGATACGATGTTCTTGCCGTAAAAAACTGTGGCAAGACTTCCAAAGTCAACAAGGAGACTCGGAACGACGAGTGTAAGAAGTTCAGCGTCATGAACGAGCCTTTAGAACACTATATTGGTAGTACAGGGCTGCTACTAATTATAGGGACACTAGATTGTTTTAAGCTGCTCTCACAATACGAGGAGTTAGATGGTGCCGATCCAAGTAACATTTGCCTAATGCCTAATATATAGCGGTAACCATCTTTTTAAAAAAATGTACATATTGCAAATTCTAAAGTGAAGTTGCCATTTTAGGGGGTGTTCTTGTCGATAGGGACACAACCTAGAAGTCGGGATACTGAAGCGACCATTCGTTTTGATTGGCTAAAATTATTTATAAAGCTACAAACTGTACATTCCTCACACGCGGAATCCGCAGGCACCTCCACGATGTCAAGAGGCAAGAAACTGTCTGAGGAGGATATTGGACGGGTAAAAGCGCACTTGAACCCCCAACGCCCAACGGTTGTACGTACAGCAGGAATCATGTTGTACGTACAACATGTTAAAAGTTGGGCTATTTTGTTGCAAAAGATGGGCAAACTTGAGAATGCACAGGGCTGGGGTTGTTGAGATCAGTCTCTTTGGCAATAAACAATACAGATTCTCCCCTTGGTTGGTGGCTGAGAGCTCATTTCGAGAAAAGACCTGAAGGGGAGACACGTGTGCACGATGGCCCCGCCTCGAGAAACACGTCGCGAACGCCAGCAGTTCCTGCAACGTCTGGATGGCCGAGCTGCGCACGACTGAGAGCTCATCAGGAAGGAGCATGCGGCGTACCTGGCTGGCGAACGAGAGGAGGATGCTGACTTCGGAGAAGATCCAGCACCTACACGCAGCGCGACAGCTCGTCCTCTGCTTCCGGCTCCGATCGGCAAAGATGCCTCTTACATGCGTGCGCAGCGACGTTTGATCTCGCAGCAGCAACGTGCTGTCGCCGCAAAGACGTTGGCAGGCTCCGGCAAGAAACGGTTAGCTGCTAGTAGGGCAAAAGCTTGCCCTCTAATGACGGCTTTAGTGTGGTGGGATAGAAAACCCGTGCAATTCTTGGGGACTGGATCGAGCCGTGCGATGGAGGAGTGTCGTACGTATATGCAAGAGGAGTGCTGTTTCCTATTCATCTAATCTATGTTGTGCTTGTTATCAGAGAGGCGTACACGTGGAACACACGGCAGACGGACTGATCTCCCTTGTCCTGCTATGATTCGAGACTATCACAAATGGATGGGGGGCGTGGATGTCCATAACTAGCTGCGCCTCCAGCGTTACTCGTTGCAGTTGCAGACTTGGTGCCAGAAATACTACAAGTCCATATTCTTGGGGCTTGTGGATGTGGCGATTGTGAATGCGTATATCATCTTTCGTGAGGCACAGAAGCGAAATAATGGGTCTCCAATGTCGCACGCAGAATTCCTAGTGGAGCTTCATGCCCAGCTGCTTGCTCTGACCAAGTACGACTTCGATGAAAGTGTAAGTCCTGATGTTGTATCTGTATCATGTTGGATAATGCTGACATGTTGTATGACCCACATGCTGTATGTTGACAGCCAAGACCACAAGAGACCGCAGCTGGCGACGAGCTTCCACCCTTGCCACCTGGCCACGAACCTCGGGAATGTCCTGAGTACCAGATCGTGAAAGGCGTGCGCAAGCGCCGGCAGCGCCAATGCAAAGTGTGCGCAATTCTGAAGCGCCGGGTGGGAGAGCGTCGAGCCACCAAATACTATTGCGATGCCTGCAGCACTTCTGATAAAGCTCGGTACGTACGAATTCGACATGGCTGAAACGACTACTAACTGCTGCTCGTTATGTACAGCATGTATCTGTGTACTCGTATTTGGCCGCACCACTATCCTGGCAACGCTCTGAGCTGCCACCAGATCTGGCATCACAAGTGGGCAAATGGAGCAAAATGCCCCAGGGCACGATGTGGATGAGGATTCCAGAATCGCAAGGCTGGAGGAAAGGGTAAGCGCCTCCGCCGAAGTAGTGAAGGAGAGGAGGAGGAAGGTATTAGCGAGGGGAGCGACAGCGGCAGCGTAGCGCACGACGACGACAGGGAAGGTAGCGAGACTGATTGAGCCGATAACTGGTGGTGGATGAACGTAGTGCTGCAATATGTGCCTTTTTCTTACTGTATTCAATTGATGTGTGTTTGGTTTCGCTTTTCGTTGTCTTCAAACTCCCCAGCTTTGCACCGGTTTGATAGGCTTCGTACAGTGTCTTGATAACAGATATATCGACACCTTTTTTTTTAAACTCCATCATGCTGGATGTACGCCATATTCAAGCAGTCTGCCGGTGTATACAGTAATCGCTCTCCATTCCGGTACTGGTATAAAACAATATCCCCAAAATATCGATACAATCGCTTTAAGGAGGGTGTACTGACGGGGGTTCTGGCGCGAATCGCTCAGCTCCAACCATTTGAAGAAGAGCACAGTGATCATAGACTTCAGATCATAATTCACATTAGTTTATACCCATGGGGAGCTGGATGAAGATACAGCAGAAGCGAGGCCTCATCCCGGCAGCAGATTGTCCCGACATGACGCAAGAAAAGCTGGCTGCGTGGGCAAAAGCTTAACACAGTAAGCGTACCATTGAGAATTGTTTTCGCCATACGGGTATTCTTTTTAATGCCGCTGATGAAAGAAGTAAAGCGGCCGGTCACACTAGCTACGGACCCGATGTAGACGTAGAAGATGTTATTATCCTTGCCTCTCAGTTAACCTTGTAAATGTACTGTAGCTTTTTTCTTTAAGAAAATAAATCAAATCCTAGGATATGGTCGGACCACGATACCGGAAGTGAGAGCGATTATTGTATACAACTTTGATCTGGTGTACATACAACATGGTGACGGGATTTGCAGAAATTGTCTTGTTGTGCATGTACAAGAAAGGTGCTCGGAATTATACGAGACTATAGTAAAGTCGAGTGTTGCACGGTTTTACATGTTGGATGAGTACTATGTTGGATGATTTGAAATAACGTCAAAAAACGGCTTGGGCGTTGGGGGGTTAAGGATGGAAAAAGCAAGCGCTGGATAGCACGGTTAGAGACCCGAAGTACGAACGCTGTCTGCAACGTATTGAAAGCTCCTAATCGTGCAAAACTCCACAAACGACTCGGAAGGCGACCAAAATTGACCAAGCGTCTGATCCGACAAGCTGTTCGACTTGCTACCGTATTGAAAACTACCGTCTAAACGTATTTCGAAGGCGATTGGCCAGGTGCTACGACCCAGTACCGTCCGTAAGATACTAAACTCGTCTAAAAATTGCCAACTGAATCAAGCGGAAGCCGGCTCCGACCATCAAGCCTCAGCACAAGGTGGACCGGGCGGACTTTGCCGCCAAATTGCTAAGTACATGAAAAACGCGTGTCTGGCGTCGAGGAATCTTTAGTGATGAAAAGAAGTTTAGCTTGGATGGCCCGGACGGGTACCAGTACTACTGGCACGACATCCGGAGCGACCAAGAAGTCTTCTCGAAGTGGGCAAGCGGTGGAGGCAGTGTCATGGCGTGGGCGGGTATGAATCACGATGGAAAGACCGAGATCGCGTTCCTTGAGGGAAGGCAGAACTCTGCCTGCTACACTAGTACACTCGATACGTACTTGGTTCCTTTCCTCGGAAACCTTCGTGAAATATATGGCGTTCGGATGCCTATTTTTCAGCAAGATAGTGCCTCTATTCATGAATCTAGGTTCACAAAAGCCCATATTAAGGCCCTTGGAATCCGGAAACTAAAGTGGCCTGCCAAAAGCCCCGATTTAAATCCAATTGAGAATGTCTGGGGCCAAGTAGCGTGGTCGGTCTACGAAGGAGGACGTCAATTCGACACTAGGGACGAGTTGAAGGCTCAGATCAAACGAAGCTGGTGCAAATGGCGCAAGTAGTTCTCAAAAATAGAAGTGTTATTGATAAATAGAACAGCTTCTAGGTGGCGTCCCTATACCTAGATAAAAACTCCTTCTAAAATGGCAATTTCACTTTAGAATTTGCAATACGTACATTTTAAAAGATAATTGCCGTTAGTTGTTAGACATTATGCAAGTGTTTCTTGGACCGAGCGGCACAAGCTAACTCCTCGTATTGTGAGAACAGCTTGAAAAAATTAAGTATCCCTAAATTAATAGCAGCACTGTTTTCTCCACTGAAGAACTACCACAGCTAAAAATGCAGGGAATCTGCGACCATCACTACCTGCTCATCGAAGAGGTTATTCGCTTGAATTTAACCACAGCAGAGAACCGCGCCGAGACTTGAGGAAGTTATCGAGACAGGGAAGTGAAGAGCTTTGCGATATTGAGGAAAAAAGTGTTTTTCTTAGCAAGTGAAAGCTGAAAGACGGCCCTCAAGTACCCCTTTGATTCACTTGTACTAATCCACTGTTCAAGGCTCGTATTATATCTTACTACTACCGGTAGTATAATATCCAGTAGGATACGACCAGAGTCATGACAACAGCGAACACCTCGTCGAACGCGAGCACGTTGACCAGTCCAAAACTATGGCTAGCAAACGGTATCTACCGGTACGACTCTGAGTTGCGACGCTGTATTAGGTCTCTCTTAGCGTATACATCGTTTTACTTGGTGTCACCCTCATCCTTCCCAAACACATATTCGTCGATGCGATGCACAAGCCACATGACATTACGCGGTGTATTACCCACCTGCTTCTCCATCTGCGCCGTCAGTCGTCGACACGAGTCCACATACCTGTCACTGAAGCCATCCAGCCGACGCTCCCAGAATTTATACATGGCGTTCACCGAGTACTTTGTCTTCTCCACGACTCGATCCTTCACTTCCCCCAAAGTAATCGACGCGGGTACAACCGCTGGCCCGCGAGGCGTCTGCAGTCCACGCACCACTTCGCTCCCCACGAGCGCCTGACCGTCGTCTGTCGCCTCTGCGTCCTCAAAGTCGAACAGCTCATCGTCATCCTCGTCAGTCACCAGCTCATCGTCCTCGTCTCCGTCTTGCAGGTCGCCTCTGTTGCCTACGTTCTTCTGGAGCTCACGCTTGATACGTTTACGCTCCTCGATCTGCTTCATGAGCTCGTCATTGTCCGTGTGGATGGCGATGATGCCCAGTCCCTTGACGTGTGGCAAATGTTTGCCCTCTTCCATCCACGAGGGAGAGTACGCAGACAGTCCGACGCCAATGAAGGTGAAATCTTCCTTCCTAGGGTGAGCTACAAAAAGAAAATAACCATAAAATGTGGTTATTTCTTTTTTTTTAACAAAAATAAAGAGAAGAACAAGGTAAACGCATGTTTCTCACCTGCGCGCTCTCTCATTTCCTGCAGACGTTCACGACTGGAGTTGAAATTCACTTGAATACCCTTACATTCCGGGCTTCGACGCTCCCGCCACATGGCTCTAAATGATTGCAATATTTCCCAGCACTTAGTTTACGGCGTGAGCTGAGGGTTATATTGCAGCGTGAGGATGCCTACTTGGTGTACACGCTAACGCCTACGCAATAGCTGCATGGAACCTTGTCCCTAGGACTTGTGGGTGGCGCATTGGCATCTTCTCCGCGACGTTCCGGTGGCACTGGAGGCATCGTCGTTTATATCCGAAAATGGGCAACAAAAATCTGGACATTATTTTTGCATCTCAGATTTGTTATTGGGTCTCTCAAATTTGATTTATTGAAGAACCCCAAAAATCATGAATCTACGCCACGTGCACATTGAGGTAGCGGCGGCACAGACTGCAAGCGGGCGCAGTCGAAAGCTACTGGCGATTCTTGCTACACCGGAGGAACACAACGATGAGGCGCATGAAATCTTCGACGAGGCCATGGTGTATCTCCATGGATTCCCAGACATGGGCGTGCATCCTACCAAAGTGGATTTCGCTTCTCGAGTGCCTGCCAAACTTGCCGAGTTTTGGGTAACCCAGAAAGATAAGAAAAATATCTTTCTGACCTTTAACTTCGGCGGCGTCCCTGGGTCGGACAATGAACTACGATTCACAGACAAACTCATCTCCTTAGAAGTTGAGGACATGGTCGTCGTGTGCAACTACATTCGCTCTCATTTTCTAGGCGGAAAGGGAAAAGTGCATGCAGTTGGTCTCTCCACTGGAGCCATTTTGGGCGCTTTGTTGCGTGATAAACACGTAGTGGATACCATCACAGTTATCGCTGGCTTGTTGGACATGACAAAAGGTGTTCATTTCGACTTTAACAAGCTGCAACTGGAGCAAAGCGAGCAGCAAGGCTGGTGCTGGAAGGAGTTCTACCTTGAGGAAGGTTGTCCGCTGCCAAAGGACGTTGAACTGTCTCTCGATGGCGTTCAACCCACCACCAGATTGACTGATGAAAATGCCCCTTCAAAGATTTACGTGCGTCTGGATAAACGCTACATTGACGAGTACTACGACGGGTCGCTGGATATCTTGAAAGCTGTATCAAGACCGGGATTGCCGCCGTTTCTGGTGATTCATGGCGACGCTGATACGGATGTGCCATATCCGAACGGAGAGGAATTATTTGCAGCCGCAGCTGAGCCCAAGACTTTCTTGGCGATCCCGAAAGCCAACCACTTGCTGTCGAACTCAAAGCATTTGAAGAAAGCGCTGCGTGCGATTGCAGAGCACGTTGCGAGGCAACAACAGGAGTTGTCGAACTGAGTGTTCACTGTGCAAATAGGCAACCAGTATAGCGATAAGTGTGCCAGCTATCCGAATATTTGCGCCACCTTGCACTGACTTCCGTGGTTTGCCGCACTGTGAATGCTCGCCCGTCCGCAAGGCTCAAAACTATTCGAGCGAAAGTCTGTACAGTTCTGTTAAAAACGCCGAGCTTTCTTATATCTAAAGGCTTAACATACACAATTCAAATACCCAATATATCAATGGACTCGGCAGATGAAGTCGAAGCGTGAAACACATTTGAGTTCTAGCGGCCGAATGCTAGGAATAACACGACTCTTGTTGCCTTCACTGTGTTAATAGATCTGTGGACAAATGTTGTTCGGCAAGGGTGTACAGTAGCACATACTTAAGTATCGCTGAAGCACGCCTTCTTCCTGCGAGTTGTCGTCAAAAAGTCTGCAACAACAAGACGCTTTCTCGATTTCTGGCGCAGGTGTTCTCCAGGCAAAGCGAGACGTTCACGAACGCCATCATCATCAACTGGATATCAGCAAAATGCAATCATCAAAGCGGCCACCCAAGATTCGTCGTAGGTTAATGGCCTTTTGGTAAACTTTCTTGAAGGCGTAAGCCTGGACTAGAAGTCTGGAAATCTAGAGAATGATTGAATGGCACGCGGCTCATGTGCAGCCTACCCTGTATTAATGGGACCATGTGCCGCCATGAGCAAGCGATGTTGTCATGTGCCTGTCCAAGCTCCATGATGGTTTAACGAAGACCGCCGAAATCGGATGTTGAAGCGTCTCAACCGGATTTCAACGCCGCAATCCAGACCCCAAGCAGCATTTTGAATTGACTTTGTATGGAGCTCGAAATGAGCAAGCAACAAACTCTCGTACATAAGACGTGCACTCACCAAGCAACCCATCTGCGTTCCAAAGCGATTGGCAACTTGTTGCCGTGGACATATCAGACCGAGGCGTGTGTATTTTCAAGCGCCCGGATTTATGAGCTATTTTAGCTGCACAATACTTAAACTGCGGCAGCTATTCCGGGCAGCGCCCAACTTGCACACAGATCCAGCAATGCATTTGCAAGTGCCGGTATCCTGTTTGTCACTTTGTTGCTCGTAAAACTTGTTTTATAGGTTCTCCGTACATTTTCGTCTGCAGTACTGTACCCATTTTGTTGCTTCTGCCAATGCTCTTCGAGGACATTGCCTTCGAAGTTACCGGTACTAAAACTGTAAGTGGACGCTACACTTGTCGAATCTTTACATGCGCATGTAGTACATGATGTACAGTATTATCCCGGCCAAAAAGGCTTGGACAAAAATGGTAATATATTTTATCTTAAATTAGAGGAATGTAACTCCGCAACCGTAGAACCGATTTAAATGACTACGGTGGCTTTCGTACCATGTTCATGAAGGATTTATGGGGTACATGGAAATGGGTGAGCTTACCGTCGGGACTCCATTGTCTCCGCTCGATTTGAGCACGCGCATTGAAAAGGCGAGCACGAATGCGCGCGTTCAGCGGCAAGTTGCCGCTGGCAACTTGCCACTTCGGGTGTCACATTCGCAAACTTGCATCAACATAAAGCGAGAAGGCAAGGTTGACCATCGTCCATCGTCCTGTAAAGTACTGTACCCGGTCCCAGCTTTATCTACACTCTGCCTCATCACGATTGGCTTTTGCAAAAAATCCTCGACCGTTTCGCATACACATGCACGTCAGTGCCGATTGGTCGAAACTTGGTAGGCTCCAAGCAGAAAACTCGTGCAATACAATATCCTTCGTTTTACGTATACACGAAACCGTTTCGTCAACGTTGAACACATACAACATCTGCCTGCAATATATAATGCGAATCAACTTTCCAGTTGCTGACGTCAGCACTTGAGGACGAAAGATGCATTTGCTTTCATTCCTGCATTTGCGGTCAAGCACGCACACCGCCTCTAAAACTTTTACCAACACTCTTCACTATGCCGAACAAGGTTTGTCTCGTGGGCTCCGGCAACTGGGGCTCTGCCATCGCCCGTATCATCGGCGAGAACACCAAGAAGTTGCCCGAGACGTTCGAGCGCGACATTAACATGTGGGTCTTCGAGGAGCAAGTGAACGGCCGCAATCTCACCGAGATTATCAACTCGGAGCACGAAAACGTCAAGTATTTGCCTGGCTACAAGCTGCCGGAGAACATCATCGCCGTGCCAGACCTTCTCGACGCCGTGCGTGGCGCCGACATTCTCATTTTCTGCGTGCCACACCAGTTCTTGGGCCGCATGTTGGTCTCCATTAAGCAACAGGGTCTCAAGGAGGGCGCTATGGCCGTCTCCCTCATCAAGGGCATTGACTTCGACGCGAATGGAGTCGTCCTGGTGTCCGACCTTATCCGTAAGGGTCTAGACATCGATTGCAGTGTTCTAATGGGCGCAAATGTTGCCAATGAGGTGGCGGCTGGCGACTTCTGCGAGTCTACGCTTGGTTGCGCCGACTTGCGCCACGGCGCTCTACTCCGTGAGCTGTTTAACGCTCCTACGTTTCGCGTGGACGTGGCGCTGGACCCGCACGGCGTGGAGATGTGCGGCGCTCTAAAGAACGTCGTTGCACTCGGTGCTGGCTTCTGCGACGGCCTTAAGTACGGTGGCAACACCAAGGCTGCCATCATCCGTATTGGTCTGAGCGAGATGAAGAAGTTTTGCTTCAAATACTTTGACGGTGTCAAGGAAGACACGTTCTTCGAGAGTTGCGGTATTGCTGATCTAATTACCACGTGCTTTGGCGGCCGCAACCGCAAGTGCGCTGAGGCCTTTGTGACGCAAAAGACCACGTGGGAAGAGCTCGAGAAGACCATGCTCAACGGCCAGATGCTGCAGGGTACGCTCACGTCTAAGGAAGTGTACGCTATTCTCAAGGAGCACAATGCCACTGACCAGTTCCCGCTGTTCACGGCCATCTACCGTATTGCCTTCGAGGGCGCCGAACCTGCCACGATCACGCAACTCGAGTGCGCGCAGTAAGGCGAACGTAGTATGAGTAATATATTGTCCATTCACTAGACCAGCAACATGGATACTTTTTCATTTATCGAGATACGTCGTGCATTTTTTTTCCTTGTCAAAGTTTGTTGCTGCCACATCAGCTGGCAGCCACTCGTTTTTGCCCCTCCCGTGCCAGTGCCAATATTGTTAGAATCGCATTCACTCTGACGAGCATGAGTGGCAACTTTCCAGGCGTGTACAAGGAGCCATTCGCGCGCGACTACGAGCGTCTGCAGCGCAATATTACTAAAGAGGCATGTGAGCAACTGGACGAGAAGGGATACGTGGTCATCGACGACTGCTTCGGTCACGGCTGGGCGAGCGCGTTGCTCGAGGAGATGCGCTGGCTCAATGGCAACAACCATTTCACGCCCAACAAGACGCAATTCGCACTTACACAAAACGGCACGGATGGCAAACCGCAAGCGTTCCACTTCATCAAGCCTCATATTTTTGAAGTGGATTTACACGATGCTTCGCTGCGCACCAAAGTGCCTGAACTTGACGCACTTTACCACTCGACAGAGTTGCTGGATGCATTGACAAAATATTTGCCACAATACGATTTGCAATTTAGCACTTCGGACCGGACACTCAAGTTGCAACGCAATGCCGGACACGGTGGCTGTTTCCCTTGCCACTACGATAACCCGGGGGCTCCAAACAAACGAAAGGTCACGTGTTTGCTCTACCTCAACGAAGGTTGGAAACAAGGTGACGGTGGCGAGGTGCAACTTTTCCCCTTCTTGCAACAACCTGTGACTGTTGCACCGAAAATGGACCGCGTGGTGCTTTTCCAAAGCGATTGGATGTTGCATCGAGTGTTGCCATCTCGCGCTGAGCGTTATGTCCTGACAATTTGGCTGGATGGTGCCACAGTGAACACACCGGAAGACTCGCAGTTAAAACTGACTCAGAGCGATTTGGCCGATTGGTTAGGCTTCTTGGAGCGATTGCGCCGATCTCCAGTGCAACGATTACTGTCCAGAGGAGTGTACGAGGAGGAATACTACGAGTCGTTGATGGAATGCATGCAAAGCACGTCCACTGAAGGCTGCGTGGAGCTGCTCAAGTCGCATGAAACACATCTGGAGAACGTCAAGCGCAACATTCCTCTGTACAATTTCATCAAGCGACTTCGAGATGTTCGGGAAATGAACAACGAAGATCCCGTGTACTTAAGCTAAAGTTGTGAAATTTATTCAAAGTGTCGTGGCGAGGACAGTCGGGTTAAAGCTTGACGCTACTCTCAACTTCCGGTTTCTTAATTATTTCTTCAAGTGCGCTGTCTTCCACGCTCGTGTCCGAGGACGCGCACGTTGCGGCTTTCTAGTAGCACACAATGGCCGCTTGGAAGTCTCTGCGAACGCCTTTGGATACTTGGTGGCGTATGAAGAAGGGGTTCTCGGGAGACGTCGAGGTCTCCATGGACTGGATTTGCAGCTCCGGAGACGACGAGGCCATCGCAGCGAGGTAACTGGAGTTCTCTTCCCATAGGTGCGGAAGATCGCAGTCGCCTCCAAGCGTCTGGATGGCTGGAAGGCGGAGAAACAACAGAGATTCAGATGAAAATGAACTTGCTTGTTTTCTACATTGATTAAATCCACAGTCCTCTGTATCTACCACTCTTCTCCTTAGCTGCCCTGAACAGCTGCACGTTTCTGCAATGCCTGCTTCGAGCCCTTGACCGGACTCGACGCGTGGCCTTTGATACCTTTGCGTTGACTCCAGACTGGAGTCCAATCTCCGCAAGCTATATCCGGATACACGTCAAACAACCGGCATTTAGAACAATTCGCCTTAAGGTAAAATGCCAAATAGGGGCCGGTGGCCAGGCTTATCTATTTTCATTGGTCACTACTAAGGTATCATATAAGAGATTACTTAGCTTAATTGGCACGACCGTCACATTTTATGCACTTTTAATTTGTCCTACTGAGCGCACCATAGCTGATGTAAAACAATTCAATAACCAGGGAAATATACAATGTGTCAGCTTTTGATTGGTGCCAAGGCCATATTTTACTTTTTACTAGATCAAAAGATACAGTCAAAACAAGAGAAGGTAGATTTGAACGGCACTTAATTGGCATTTTCCCTTACTATTCCTTCCACCACAATGAAAAGACCAGCAGCAAAAAACTCTCTCCTTGGCAAAATATTTTTTCTATCAATGTTTGTAAAGTCTAATAACGCAAAGTGAGTCTGGCGCACTTCTGGCATTCGCCAAGCATTCGCAAAAACACCATGAGAAGCAGGCGTTCCAACGTAGCGGCGAGCGAGAGCGAAAGCGAAACCAAGCGCGTCAAGATATTCGAAGGTGATGACGAGCCCGTGACATACGATGTCCGGCTGGAGAACGAGATCTATGTGAATATTGACCTGCTCTTCAAGTTCCCACCTTTCAAGTCGTATTTTTCCCAGCGCTACAAGCGATCTGTCAAGCGCTTCATCTCAGATGAGAATCTCCGAGTCATCCTTGTGACCAAGAAGAACGTCGAACAGGGAGAATTGCTGGCGAAACCCTCCTACAGGTCCAAGAGCGACATTCGTTTGGTGAAAAGAGACGAGCATGTTGTGCGACTGGTCAAGATGGCGAAATAGAGCTCGTACCCTCTTGCACCACCTGTGACCAACGACAAGGATCTTGCGTTCTTCGTGGAAAAGAGCGGCGTGCACTACCAAGTGGAAATGCGTGGCGAGCGCACAATGGAGGGCATCGACTTCAAAGCGAAAGACGTGGGAACGGTGTTTGAAAGCGAATGGTTCGTGTAGCTAATTCAGCGTCCTGACACCACGTACTGCGAGTCCATCGACTTCATTTGGGTTGCTCTACAAGTCAGGGAGATTCTCCCCGATTCACTGCCTGACCGCGATTATTCAAATCAAGGACATCCCCGAAATTGTGACACTTCTTTACAAGAAAATGACCACCACTCTCCACAAGAGCAGAAACGAGCGTATCACATTTATGGCAATTGTTCGGGAGTATGGACGGCCCGACGTCTTCCTGACTAAAACTTGCAACCCCAAGTGGAACAAGATTCTGGAAACGATACCTTCCGAGATTCAGACAGCTCAATATCGACCAGTCATCGTGGCTCGCGTGTGGCAGCAGAAACTGCAAGCAACGCTTGACGATTTAAACCAAGGCGTTCTGGGATGAGTGCGCGCGCGGATTTACGTTGTCGAGTTTCAAAAACAAGGGCTCCCCCACGCTCACATATTGATTATTTTGGCTGACGAAGACAAACCTCGAACGCACGAGATCGTAGCCCAGATGGTATGCGCTGAGACCCTAGATAATGATACAAACCCTTAGCTGTAAAAGACGGTCATGTTATGCACGCTCCATGGTCCACGCGGGCCTGCAAACCTTTCCTGCGCGTGTATGAAGGACGGCAAGTGCAACAAGGGGTATCCGAAGCCCTTATCAGAAGTTACACAAGCCACTTCCAATGGATATCCAGTGTACAGACGACGTCGACGGCAAGAAGGTTTTCTTAAGTTCAAAGGCAGAGAATACGACATAACTACGATCAACCAGTGGGTTGTACCGTACAACCCGTACTTATCCCAGAAGTACAACTGCCACATCAATGTGGAAGTGTGCACGGATATAACTGCGGCTAAATACCTGTACAAGTATGTGTACAAAAGGACCCGACATGGCTTTACTCACTGTGGAAGAAATCCGAGGAGGGCAGTAGACTGCGCGTCGAGAATCAAATGATATTCTGCGTTTCTTGAGCGCCCGTTACATTTCTCCTGCTCGATTTCACGATTCACGGAAAACCCATGCGGTGACACAGCTAACGGTTCATCTCGAGTCAGGCCAGACAATTTGCTTTCGCGAGACGGAAAACCCGGAGCGGCTTTGGCACGTAATTGTCACACGATGCTGACCAGATTCTTTTAGTTGTGTGCGAGCGAAGAGCCTCAGAATCATATTGCCAGAACGATGTTGTATCAGGGCATCCCTAACGAGTTCTGCTGGAAAGCGCCGGAGAAAGGGCAGCCGAAAAGGTGGGTTCGCCGGAAACAGTATCAAGCCGCGGCTGGTCGCATGATTCACGTGTCTCCTCGAGATATGGAGCGGTTCTATCTTCGGCTACTGCCCTGCCAGCGTAGATGCCCAACGTCGTTTGAAGACTTGAGAACGGTTGACGGAATTGTCTGCCGGGCATTCCAAATTGCGGCGCGGGAGGCTAGACACTTGGAGAATGACAGCGAGTGGATTTCGTGTTTAACGGAACCAGCTGAGTTCCAAATGCCGTATCAAATACACCTGCTCTTCGTCAGCATTCTGGTGCATTCAGCTCCAGCAAATGTTGATGTTCTATGGGATCGGTTCGTCGCTGATCTTTCCCAAGCCTTCGCACGCAAACATCAGGCTTTGATGGCTCCCTTCAAATCGACGTTAGTCGAATTTGAAACGCTGATGAGCATTCATGAACTACTTGAAGCGAACGGGTATGTGGTAGAAGACTTCGACGAGCTTCCTCAGTTGGGGTCGTTCCCAACATTGAATCGAGAATCGCTTCGCCAAAACGGCTTACTTCGACGTGAGATCACTGGATACGATGCATCAGCTTTGGAGACGATTGTAAAAACAGAAGATCAGCTGAACGAAGGACAGCGAGTGGTTTACGACCAGATTATTGAAGCAATAGACTGTCCTCAGGAAGGCAATAAGTTAATTTTTGTCGATGGCCCGGGTGGTACTGGAAAATCTACGCTGCTTCGAAACATACTGACCAAAGTCAGACTCTCGGGGAAATCGCCATCGCTGTGGTGTCTAGCGGTATTGCCTCACTCTTGATCATGGGTGGTAGAACAGTTCATTCTACATTCAAGATCCCTTTGAAACTGAACGAGAGCTCGACGTGCGGTATCAGGAAGAACTTCCATATTCATCAAGCATGCAAGTTTGATTATTTGGAACGAAGCACCTATGGCCCATCGCCACGCATTCGAGGCAGTAGACAGAACACTGCGGGACATACTTGACAACGATACCGAGCCTTTTGGGGGGAAAGTGTTTGTGCTTTCGGAAGATTTCCGCCAGATTCTCGCGGTCGTGAAGAATGGAACACCCGTCGAGACAGCGAACGCTTGCCTCAAGTCGTCTAGACTGTGGCCCCAATTTTAGACGTTTCGACTAACGGAAAGCATGCGAGTGCGTAAAGTTGAGACTGCGGACACAGCCGAGGAAATGACGGGGCTCTCCGAGTTCCTGCTGCAAGTCGAAGAGGGAAGGCGTGATGTTAGCCATTCCCTAGGGAGCGATTAGATGAAGATTCCACGCGATATGCTGATTGAGAATCCACCTGTGCCCGGGGATGAGGACCAGGAAATTCGGCCTGGTGTTATTCCAAGAGGCATGGATCGGATAATTGACGAAATGTATGGAGAGACTAGCAACTCCGAGGTTGCTACCGACGAGTATTTCGCTAAACGAGCGATCCTCACGACCACGAACGCTATCGTGCACCGCATCAATGAAGCGGTGATCCATCAATTAACCGGACAGGCGCGGGAATACATGTCTTCCGATTCTGTACAAGACGACGGTGACGGTAATTTCTTCGAGCAGGAGGTACTACACTCGATGAACATCAGTGGAATGCCTCTTCGCAAGCTGACTCTCAAGGAAGATATGCCTATCATGATGACGCGGAACCTGAATCCAGATCTAGGGCTGTGCAACGGAACACGGCTTCGAATCGTGGCCGCAAATCACACGTCATCCACGCCACAAACATGACAGGTGAGCTACAAGGGCAACACGTGTTGATTCCCCACATTGGTTTCATCAGTGACGGAGATATTCGGAGGTTTCCAATTCACTTGAGACGCAAGCAGTTCTCTGTCCAATCGGCCTTTGCGATGACCACTAACAAGGCGCAAGGACAAACGGTGCAGCACCTGGGGCTGTATCTTGCTACGCCTTGCTTCTCCCACGGGCAGCTGTACGTGGCGATGTCGCGACTTACTTCAAGTTAAGATTCAAGGCGCTGGTCGAGTACCCAAAGCTGGAGGGGGGGGTACATCAAGAACATTGTCTACATGTAGATCTTTGGTTCGGAGTAGGAATGTTCAATTTCATATGCATTTAATACATCACGTTTACATAAAGCATGTTTACACCGGAGCGCAGCGAAGGCGTGAGCCCTTCCCCTGGGAC